TCTAACACAGCGTGTGACAACAATTCGCGCAAATCTACGTCCACGTAATACTCTTCTGTAAGCTTGCCAAGCTCCAGGTCACCCAGAATGTTGGTCAACTTTAGTTCCAGTCCCCCAGCGTCCAAGCTTTCAAGCGTGACATCAAGATTCCTGTCAACGTATCGGTCATGTTCAGGGAATGAAAATTTCACCAGGTGCTTAGTGAAGCTGTAAAAATCTTAAAATGTTAGATTCGTTGATCTTTGTCAATTTTCTTTTCCCTTTTCCTCATTTTTCAATCCTCATCATGTTTCCTTTTTCCAATTTCTATTCCATTTCGCTATACTCATATCTCATTTTCCATGCCGTAATCTTCATTCTCCATTCCCCATTCCCCATTTCCCATACTCCACTCCATATTTTCCACATACCACTTCCTATTCCCTAGTATCTGGTCCTAGGTCCCCCCCCCATTTCCCGATGACCATTCAAATTTTTTTTAAGTTAACTTAACTCTAAACTCAGATTTGCGCGAAAGGGCTAGTAATTTGTTGCATGACAAGGAATTTTTTTCCTGTAGGAGGCGAGAGCAAAGATAAGGCTTGACTCACTAGGGGTCTCAATACCCAGTTATGGCCCCTGTTTAGCGGAAGTACATAGTAAAGTCGGAAATTGAACAAGCCGTATGGGGCATGAGCAGTACTTATAAAGAGTTTATTGAAAGAATGATAACTCTGACCTGCTGACATCACTCGTTTCTGTTTTTTCCAAACTCCTGTCTTCTTTCATAAGTTTTGACTGGCAGTAATTATGAAAGTGTTTCTCTCCCTCTTCAGTAATATACCTCTGCAATCCACCAACAATGACCATTTCTCCTTTACCAAAGGGGCGCTTCCACAACGACCGCTTTCGTTTAACAATCAGCGCAAGTGGAGAGATAATGTTTGTTTGGCCGTGATAGACTGGGAAGTAATCCTTGCCGAAATTCTCTCGAACAAATGCCTTGATAGAATCCTGCGTCATCTAGGAACAAAAATTATTGCAACCCTACATAATTTT